CATCCCCAACAGCGGAATGCCTGTCGTTGCTGGCGCTGGTGCTGGTGTTGGTGCTGGTGCTGGTGCTGGCGCTGGCGCTGGGGCTGGTGCTGGTGCTGGTGCTGGTGCTGGTGCTGGTGCTGGTGCTGGTGCTGGTGCTGGTGCTGGTGCTGGTGCTGGTGGGCTCACCATTTCTGGCCACCAGAAAAGCTGACAGAGCTGTAGATGATGGGTTGTCCATGCCCGAATGAACACCAATTCTGGTAAACGAGGGCCGAATGCGTTCAGCAGGCCTGGGCAAATGCAATCGGGTTTACGCGAAGCTCCGGGAGCTCAGTTGGAGCATTTTATGGGTTGTTGCTGAATCGGGACGAAATAAAGCATGTTCGTGTGTGGGGATGGCATTGAACAGCAGTTTTGTCGAAACCATAGCCGAATGCGTATAGCAGGCCTTGGAAAATGGATTTGGGCTTGGTCGGATCTCCGGGAACTGAATTTGAGCAGTTGGTGGGTGGCTGCATTTTCGGGGATTTGCCGAAACTGCAGCCTTTTGGCAAGCACCTGGGCTTGGTCGGAACTCCCGAAACCCGCCCAACGCGCTCGACCCGCCCAAGAACCTGCCCGGAACCTGCCCCGGAACCCAATTTCAGCTGAAGACCCCAAATCTCTCGCTTGTGGTGGAAGAAGGGCGAACTGTCAGGGCACGAGCCGACGTGGCTTTTTGGATTCGTTGAACCCGTACTTCAAGAACACTGAAACACGCTGGCAAGCTGCAAGGTTTTCATACGGTCAGCAGCTAAGTGTATCGATCTCACAGAACCGAAAACTTGTAGCTTCTGAGACTCGAGCTGAGAGCTGCGTCAACAATGTCCGGGTCAAGCCAAGATCTGGACCTCTGACCAAGGTGCTGCAAAAGATGGTGCACCCTAAACCCTAAATCCTAATCCCTAAACCCTAAACCCTAAACCCTAAACCCTAACCCTACCATTTGCTGAGAACAGATCCTCCCCAGTCGCCAGCTGGCCGGTTCTGCGCCATCATCTTCTGGACCACGGTAGGTCTCGCAAGAGGGTTTAGGGTTCAGGGTATAGACTTCTGCAAAGCTCACGGAAAACTTAAACACAGCTGCACCTCCACCAATCCAACAGGAGGTACACCGAGCAGGTTAAAACCTCGCACACTGGCGGGAGACAACAGATCGCGAGGAACAGCTGGCATGTTTCGGACTTTCTGGTCCAAGCGGTTCAACCAGGCATGCAGCCCGGAAGCATGAGTCACGGCGTAAGGCACCACAAAGAAAAGTGGTGATGAAGCTCCGGGCAGCTGTCGGACCTTGGCGACATCGACAGAAGCGAGCCCACGTGCAGCCGGCAAGATTGATGTCACTGGCTCGGCAGGTATGTTGTGCAAGCCCTGGCGAGTAGCAAAATCATATGGTCCTTGAAGCAGACTGCCCGGGCTTCCAGATTTCCAAACGAAGTTCAGAATCTGACCTGATCAGTAGGCTGTGGAAATCAGAATGGCCAGCCTTAAGCCTGGTCTGCTGCCTGCAAGCAAGATGAAACAAACGTGGAAGGCAATGAGGAAGCCTGCAGCAGGCGCCAGTCGCTCAGATCGACATCCACTGTGCCAGCTGCAACGAATCTAAGCTCCACACCGCACGTGATCTGTGGGAACTGATCCACAGTTGGCAGGATAATTGGATCCAGCAAGCTCTTCAGCTGCTCGCCTCACATGAACCGTCAAATCCCGAGAAGCCTGGGCCAGAACAACCCCAAACCCTAAACCCCCGCCCGGGCCTGCGCGAGTGAGCTTCCTCCGGCTCATCGGCCGCTTTGCTTCCATGAATTGCACGGCTTTGCGCTCTGTCTTGAAACGCATGGATCACCGCTGGTCTACCATGCCACAGACTTGCCAAACTACAAGTTGAATGGCATTCATCCCACGTTCTTGCGAAGAGGTGCGAAGCCAGCCAAAAATCTAGCAAGCGCGAAATCTGGCAAGCAACGGCAGGAGTGACGTGGTGCACTGACTTCCCGACCTGTCTGTTTCATGCAGATCCTGCAGATCTTCAAGCGCATCGATCAGCTCCTGCCGCATGTGGCCGCAGACCAAAAAGTCCCAACACAGAAAGCTGACAAGAGAAGCTTCTTGCATCCTCGAGGTCTGGATCCTCGGAGTGGAAGAGCCCCAGAAGGTGACTAAGTCGATCACGGGATACCACTCTTTCAGTCAGAAGAGACTCTGAGTCCGAGGATGGGCACAATGCCGCAGGCGGAAAAATCGGCTGCCGAGGAAATGGGGTCGGATCTTCTTTCGGGGGTCGAGGAGGAGCCTTCAGCGAAAGCAAAATGTCAAACCTCGATGGAGCTTGAACGCAGCCCCGCCTGGCGCGTGGCCAGACAAGCACCTGCAAGCAGCATCCCATCTGACCGGAAGATGAAACCCTAAACCCTAAACCCTAGCCATGCCTTTGTCTGACCGACGACCTCCTGACCTCAGTGCCGAATCTGGATCGCTCGCTGAACTCGATAAAAACAATCCGGGTACAGTAGCAGCGCCTTGCCCATAATGCGATGGCAGAAGAGATAGCCTCGCCAAGAAGGACTGTGATTGCTGGGACACTTGCTGCCAAGCGAAGCCGTCAACAAGGAGTCTGGCAACAACATCAAAAGCAATGCCACCACGACCACGGCCGACAACGACAAGCCAGGCTATGTGGAAGAATAGAAACAAACCGATGACTCCTTGCAACTGTGGACTTCCGGTTGATGCTGAAAGATAGCAAAAGAAGGTACCAAAGCAGCAACGACCAGAAGACAATGCCACTCACTGACCCGTCCAGTTCGATACATAGGCACAAACACAGGCTTGTTGAACTCTTGAACTGTTCATGTCGAGCCTCATCGCTCTGTGCAAACAAACACCAGAAAAAGAGTCGGCCACCGCATCAAGTCGGAGTCAGCACTTCCATGAACAACATTGTACCGCCAACATGGCTACAAGCATGAAGTCGCCAGACCACTGGGGTAAGGCTTCCACTAGGGCGTGACCACGCTTCCAACTTGACCTTAGGGGCAATCGCAGCTCACGTTGCCAAAGGCTTCATGTAGCAAGGAGTTCAAGAAATACGTGCGCATCCAAGAAATACACATAAATATGTGTGTGCATATATATATATATATACACATATATGGTACCCCCCTCCAAAAACTAACTCGAAGCCGCTTGTACTTCTATTTCTAGACTATGTTACGACTCCACTCCGCACAAAAGTCGTGTATCCCACAGCCGGTGAGTATTGCCTATTATCCCCTGCCTACGACGATGCAAAGCCGATCAAACCAAGATAATGATTTTAAGTATTGCCTAGTATTCCCTTTCTACGACGACACAATACCATTCAAGCCAAGAAAGAACTGCCTGGCATGCCTCGTCTACAACAACACAAGAACGTTCAAACCGAGATGAAGATACTACGTATGGCCTGCTAGTCGTATGGCCTGCTAGTCTCTGTCTGCGACGACACAACACCGTTCGAACCAAGACAACACCACGAGTCACTGTCCAATGTCCTCTGTATACTACGCTATTAAACGGCAGGCTCCTCCTGATTTTCCGTATTTACATCGATATAGGGTATGCTATAGGGTATTTCATCAGGTATTCTAAAGGGTGTCCTAAAAGGTATTCTAAAGGATATTGTATGAGGTTTATTGAGGTATACAGAGGGCATGTAGGGCATTCTGTAAGGTAATCTATAGGGTACTCCTTAAGGCTTTGTACAAAAGGTATTCTGGAGCCTATATTTACGAAGGTATTCCACAAGGTAGTTGTAACGCTATTCTTCCTGCTTCCTGGTTTTCTTCGTAGGAACCCCTTACCCAAAAGCTACAACTCAACTCGGGACTTCTCAAATCGTGGGCGCCGACTGGTTTTCCCTATTCAAAACCCCCTATCTATGGGGTACTTTGTAGGGCATTCGATAGGCGCTTCTAATTGGTATCCGATACAGCATTCTACAAGTATTCTATATGGTCTACAGAAAGAATACAGGATGTAGTAGATATATTCGGTCTTCTAAAATGTATTCTGCAGGGTATTCCTGATGGTTTTTGTTGGGGTATATCGAGGGAAGTGTATAAAGTATTCCAAAAGGTAGGCCAACTTCTATATTGTAGCAGGTCTTCTACAGGGTATGAACCTGTATCCCTTACTAGACAAGCTTCGACTTGCTCAAGAGTTCTTAGATCCTAGATTCCGTGTTTGCTTCATCTAATCCCTTGCCTAGTACACTACAATTCAACTGGGGAACTCTCAGATCTTGGGCTCCTCCTGGTTTCCTCTGTGTAACTGGTACTATGGGATATCCTAGAAGGTACATAGGGGTGGTATTCTAGAAGCTCTATAAGGCAGTCAGGGCTATAGGGTATTCGATAGTGTAAACACAAAGTAAATTAGGGGGTATTCCACAATCTACAGGCTATTCCCCTTCACTCCTAATTTCTTTCATAGCACCACCGTCTCAGTGTGTGTGCACGCGCACGTGCGTCTTCTCTCTCGTGAAGTACGGAATCTCAGACATCCTCTAGCATGAGACGTCCTTATCAAGATGCGTGAGGCTCTGACCGGCAGGATAAGCGCTCCGCTGGACGAGGAAAATCTCTTTGTTCCCGCCACTGGCCAAGCCTCGCAGCCGACGGAAAACCACCGACAATTCGTACTGGACACGCTGCTTCCAGTCTGAAACGCAGTAGCAGTAGCGTAGTAGTAGCAGCGGTAACAGTAGCAACAGCAGTGGCAGTGGCAGTAGCCGTAGCAGTAGCAGTAGCAGTAGCAGTGGCAGTGGCAGTAGCAGTGGCAGCCGCAGCGGCAGTGACAGTGGCAGTCGCAGTAGTAGGCAGCAGCAGTCGTAGTGCTGTAGCAGTCAGAGCAGTAGCAGTAGCAGCAGCAGCAGCAGCAGCAGTAGCAGTAGCAGTAGCAGTGGCAGTGGCAGTGGCGGTGGCGGTGGCAGTCACAGTAGTAGAAGGCAGCAGCAGTCGCAGTCGCAGTCGCAGTCACAGTCGCAGTCGCAGTAGCAGTAGCGGTCAGTAGTAGTAGCAATAGCAGTGGAAGTAGCAGTAGTAGTATTGCATTGCAACCGTCGCATAATCCGAGTGCATGACGAGGGCAAGGGGACAAACACACCGCATTGCAGTGCATCCGGCCGTTCAGTGACGGCTTCACCACTTTCGGTGATCCCTTAAGCTAGCAACATCGAAATCTTGAATCAGCGATGACATCCACTAATCCATGGTGTTGAGCGGATCTTGCTCATCTCCCGAGTCCGAAACCACTATCGGCTCCCGCTGATAATCCCGTGAATGGGTGCTCCGCTGTCCGCGGGTTGATGCTGCACTGACTATCCCAGAAGCAGCATCCATAGATCCACTTGCACCTGTTCCAGCGGCCGTTGCAGCAGCAGTCGAGAAACCCATTGGTGGATTGTTTTACCGGAGGTGTTCCTCCTGATCCCGCCTCACGTGGAAGAACTCCTGAAGAAGAAACTGCGCCCACCGCTTGTGCAAGCTGTTGTCGATATTGGCAGGATCCCGCATGCTCCCTTCCGCTGCTCCATATGCATATGGTACAGCAGTGGATATGTCCAATGCCAGCCAAGCGGTTGCAGCTTTCCACCTCGCATTGTGAAATTTGCGCCCTGCGCTGTTCTCTGCGAATACGCTCCTGCAGGGCCATCCAGTCAATATCGCACCTCGGCGTATGGTGACCCATCGAGCATGCTGAGCAGCAATGGCGATGCCTGCGTCTCACATACGAGCGGCCACATCCTGGAACAGAGCATTGCCTTGTTCTGTTCCTGTGCAGCCCCAGAAAAGCATCGCCTCCCGGTACCGGCGGTTCAGCAAGGCCTTCCATCATTGCGGCTTTGCGCCGACGGCTGGACATGACCTGTTTGGGCAGCAGCAATTTAAAGGCCGGGGTGAGTCCACTACCGCGCGAGGATGCAGAACAAATCTTTACAAGTTTTTGCACATCGCTTAATCAGACTCGCTGTGTGTCCGCGAGGCCAACAAGGCACGGTGGCTCGGCGGCTCGAATCACTTCTGAGCCAGCTTCAGCCCTACTACAGTGCTTGTCCCCCACAAGCATGTAGGCTTGTACTTTGCGTTCCTTGCCTGAGCTGCACAGGCTGAGTGCCAGTGACGTATCCTGTGAGTGGATGTCCACTAGGGGCCTAAAACCAGACGACAACAGAACCTAACAACCACAAGGCGGGGGGCAACTGATTTAAGGTCAGTGTTCCTCAGCTCCTGGCACGGGGCGGAACTGCAACCTTCTCTGGACAATCATGCGAGGCCGGTGTGCATTCCCCGGCTCAGAACTTAGACTTGACTCAGAGATCTCAGGCAGCACGAAGCCCATGTCTGCAAGGAGGTGCCTTTGTGACGGCTCTGCGTGGTGGTGCTGGCCAATGGTGTAGGCAATGATGACGCAACGATTATCGCCCCACGGCAGATTGCTATGCAGATGATCTCTGCCCTGGAAGAGCAGCGCCGTGGCTTGCGTAGGGTATATCGTGCCGGAGCACATGCTCCCATCCACTTGCAGAGCGTGCTTTCCTACACTACCCAGAGGCCGCCGCCGGAGTGATGTGTGACTCCAATGAGAAGACTGTCCCCCGGTGCATTTCCTCTGTCCACGTGTGGCATAGTTTTGTTCTCCAGGTTCACACTCAACGTGGTCCAGCGGTGGGAGCCATGGACTTTAAGAATCGCAGCGTTAATCAGCCTTGCCACCGACTGATGAGCCCGGGAGTATTTGGTGACACCGACCCATCCTCCTTTGTTGTAGAGGCTAGCTTGAAGACCAAGCCGCTTGCGTGTTCGCGACTATCCTCCTCAAATTCAAGGACTCGGATAACCTCTCGGATCGCCGACCATAGAGAGCCGGAGCCCTCGGCCAGGAAGCTCAAAGCCAATGCCTCAGCCTGGGAGGGTGCCTGCGGTTGGCACTCTGCTGGCGCTGGGAAGTTGATAATTCCATCTCCATCCATCGTTCTTGCCAGTCGATCAGCAAAGGCAAGAAAGAGCTCCCAGTCCTCCTTTGATAGGACACCCCGTGCTTCCTGCAGGAGTTCATTCCTGGTAAGAAGGGATATAGCAGGCCGGAGTAGAGCAGGCGCGCTGGAGAGGCTGCGCATGTGCAGTATGAGGCGATACTCCTCTTCCGCCACCACATGCATATGCTGGGGCAAGCCTAGCACCTTTGCCATGACCTACACTGCGGTACCGACCTAGGCACCAGTCGAATGTGCACGACACAATCGAGAGATCATTGCTGCGTAGACACAGTCTGGCACGCTGAGGTGAGCATAGTAACTGGGCCAATGCATGTAATGCAAGTCTGCTCAGTGCCGAGCCAAGGCTGCGCTCCCTACGCGCAGTGAGCAGGGATCGACCCAGACCCCCACTCCAACTGTGGGCCGTATTCTGCATGTGGCTTCACTGCATGGTAGAAGGGATGTCATGCTTGTACAAGAAGAAAAACAACAAACACTACTTTGCATATGTGAATTGCACGCAACTAAGTCAATCTGCCGCTACTGCTTTTGCACACCCGATAACGCTTCGGCATCAGGCCGCGGCTCTCATCAGCAGGGTGGTTGTTGTTGTGGGCCCACCCTGTAAGGCCCCTGTACGGGCTATAGGCAGCGAACGAGACCCAGTAGATAGCAGTTGTGGTCTACTTGGTCGAGGTCGTGTCCCCTAGCTTTCCTAGGCATTCGGTTGTCATCACACACGAGATACTCCCAGCCTGCGTGTTTTGGCTGACCTATGAGGGCCATGTAGTGTCCGCATTGGGTTGTCTCGCCCAAATGGTAAATGATGGCCGCTACTGTGAAGGTCTCGTGTCGCATGCAAGTGCTGGCTGGCTCAGCAAAAGCGGGAACCGCCACAGTGTCTCCTGGCCGCACTCTCAACTCCGTTTTATTCTTACTAGCTGCCGCAGTGTACCGGCCGATCTGCACGAAGAAAACTCCACCATGCGACACCAGGGCTTGCACTGCAGCTTGATTACTCCAGCTGTCAAGAAGCTGCTGCAGTGTGACTCGTGCACTTATGGAGGGCCCGTCTCCTTGCATGTGAAGCAGGATCGCCTGTTGCAAGGAGCCTGCGTCCCGTACTGTGTGGGGGTTGCTGAGCCTAGATTCCCACCCTCCCTGCCATTGTGCACTACCATCATACTCCAGGCAGTGTCCTAAGAACTCACTTGCATCATGCTGGCTATGTATCGACTCCCACGCACGGAAGAGTTCACGCAGGGCCATGCAATCTGGCACGGAAGAGTTCACGCAGGGCCATGCAATCTGGCAGGTGCACTGTGCGACCTGTTTTAAAGATGCGCACCACGGCCTGCAGCCGGCTCAAAGACGTCCCACTGAATTCCGTCAGCCAGACAAGAGCCTGCAGTGTTGCATTGATGTAGCAAACATTGCTATGATTTTGGAGCTTGATCCTACACACAGCAGGGGCCTGCAATGCTTGGCTGGCCCGCGATCCCCGCGCAGGCTTGGCGACAGGTTCACCGGGATCACCTCCACATCGAAGGTCTGGAGCTGTAGCTTCGGGCATGAGAACCGCGTCAGCACCCCTTCCTTCGGAAGCTTTTCCAGCAGGCTGTCCAACAACCTCATCGCCTCCGTGCGCTTGATCGGCGGCACTTCCGCTCGCACCTGCTTCTTCTCCTTGGAGTCCCAGGTGTGGAACACCCATCCAGGGTTGATGGCCGACTCCGTCTCCACCGCCCAGCCCACATTCAGGCACTTTTGCAGTTGCTCCTCGTCTTGTACTGCTTGCTCCGCCCGGTCCTTCAGGTCCTTCATCATTGTCATGGCAAGGATCGTCTTGAGGGAGGTCTTCACTCGGCCTTCCTGAAACTGGGTTTGCCACGTCTGAAGTACAGCTTGCAGCTGCCCCACACATCCTAGGCCTGAAGTATCGCAAAAGGCCACGAAGCCCACGTCCGGACGGACCCGCATGAGCTCTTGCTCGTGCCTCACCGTCGTTTTGACTAGGCACTTCAGCAGCTCCTGTGTCTGCCGACTCTCCGAAGCTCCGGCCTCCTGCTGGTCCTCCTTCCATTGGTTCTTCTTGCCTGACCCGCCGCTGCCCCATTTGTCCCAAAAGCTGTAGGATGGACCTTTTCCCTTGGCATCCGTGCGCCGCCACTTTGCCGGCCTTTGCTCCTCCCCCTCTTGGGAGTCCTGCTTCTTCTCCCCCTCCGCCACCGACGCCGCCACTTTCTGCGCGCACGCCTTCTGATATACCTCCTCCATTTCCTGGCGAGCCTGCAAGGCCAGCTGGCTGTCCACATCCATCGTGTCCGCCATTATTCCAAGGGCAACCTGGCTGCAACAGTCGATGCATCAAGGAAATCTGAAAGACGACTTGACAGCTCACAAGGTGACGGCCTGGTTGCCGAAGCGGATAGCTGCAGTAGCTACACGGAGCTGTCGCTGCTAGGCCAGCACTGAGGCATTGCGTTTCGGCCACTGCACGATGCGGCCAACACTCAGGATGCATTTGACGCAGATGCTGCTTCACTCTAGTGCTCCACTGTCCGCACAGCACGCAGTGTTCTTTTAAGAGCTGCTGGTGTCTAACCTGTCTCGCTGCTTGTCGCCAGTTCTGGCGGACTTGCTGGCAGAACTCGGGTTCGTTCGCCAAAACAACATGTGCAAATGGACCCGCAGTCGGTGGCGCGCGGAGGTCTGTCTGTTGGGCCCAGCACCTAGGCAGCCCCACCCGCTCAGCAGGGACCTGACCTACTGAAGCGGTGACAGCCTCCTCGCAGTGTGCACGTTTGACAACCGTACTTACAGCCTCACAACCCGACTTGATATGCTTTTTGAGGCCCTCAACCCTAGTGAATACCTTGCCACATCTTGCACACTGCGGCATACCTTCCACAGATCCTGCAGCGTACTCAGCCGCCGACAGAACACCAGCTTTCTTGCGCTTATTTTGTCCTTTATAGCCACGCTTAAGGGCTTTGTGGGAGCGCATGATTCTTGAAGAGGGAAAGTACTGCCCACATTCATTACACGCAACCCCTATCTCCCCAAAGAGATCCTTGGCCGAATTATTCACAACTTCAAGCTCTGGCGGCGTCTGCTGCTGCAGAAACTGAAGCTGCTCCTCGAACCACGCGCGGCTATCGGCATTGGGCGCACGACGCACCCTGCGTTCTAGTGTCTTAGCTAGGACCATCATCGGCGAGACAGTCTGAAGTCTGGCCCGAAGCTGCAGTGTACTTTCATGCGTGAGATGGGAAGGCGCCTTTGCGATGGCCCGAAGTACCCTAGCATCAAACTGCTCATGTTTGCGCAGCACTGCCACTGTGGCGCCGATAGCATGCTGGCCGTAGAGCAGGCTACTGCGCACACACGCCACGTAAAGCCGGACCCTCTGTGATAAAGACAGCTGACGATTGTGCAGTGTGCGTGCAAGGCGATGCCGATTGGCCAGTGCAGCTTGCTGCCGATGCAGACAGGTCTGCATTTCGAATCCCTGATAGGGGGCCACCACCCCTAAGTAGACCATCTTATCAACCTGGGGAATCCTAAGCGATTGGTGCGGGGTACCGAGTTCCACAACAGTTCGACCACCCTTGACCCTTATCCTATGTTTCTTAAGCCATCTGGATGCTGCACTGCCTCTCAGGCGTAACACCAACTGAGATTTGTCCTGGTTCACCTCCATTCCATGTTCCTTGAAAACAAGAAAAGTTTGTTGGATACAGTGCACGGTGAAGGATAAGTCGTTCACCCCCCAGATGTCCCAGGCAAGGTGGGAGTCATCGGCGAAGAGTGTAATGGCCTTTTCGGCCCACTCTGGGCTCGTGCGTATGGCGAGGTCGTCGTAAAGCATGCAAGAAAATAGGGCATACAAGTAGGGGCTTAATGTACAGCCCTGACGGACTCCTTTGCGCATGTCGAAATCCCGCTGGTAGCCCTTATGTCTGACACTATATCTACACCGTTCGTGAAGCTCAAGGACAACGTGTTGTAACTCCGGTGATGCCCCCGCTCGATGCATGGCCTTTTGCAAGGCCCACCTCGGTACGTTATCGAACGCTTTACTGAGGTCTATGCTTACCATGACGCCTCCAACGCAAGTCCCGGTCATTCTTCTTGCCCGTCGATCATGCACCGAGAGCACCGAGGACTTCACCCTCTCGCGCACACTCCGGCAATGTCTGGACACTCTACTGATTGCATCGTCAATTGCTTTGCCTGGACAGTAAGCGAATTGTGGCCGTGCCTGTAGGTATGCAATAGTGCATTCTTGCAGACGCCCCCTAACCAGAGTCGCCATTACCTTAGACCCCGGATCTTGTAATCCTAGCGGCCTGAGGTCGGCCGGCCTCCGGCTGTGTTTCTGCGGTTTGGCAAGAGTGCAGTTAGTAACTTCAGGGGTAGCCTATCCCTAAGGTCCGGGTCAGCGCTGACGATGCCACTGAAGAACTGTGCATAGAGTTCTGGACAAAGCTGCCACAACTCTGCAGGCACGCTGTCGTCTGGCACAGCCTTGCCTCCCTTCAAGCCCCCGATGGCCGCAATGACCTCCTCTACACCAAAGTGGACTGGGGTCCCAGCAGGGAGCTCATACGGCACATTGGTGTCGAAGACTCGCTGGAGATGTTCAAAGATTTCTTCAAACTCCTGCTTAGGTCCTTTAGGCGCTATCCTGTTAATGATTCGATAAACAGTACCCAAATCAGGCCGCTTCGCCGCCTGCTTTGCCTCCTGTATTTGGGCCTCAAACCACTCACGTCCAGCAGCCCTGCTGGCCTTTCTCAGAGCTCTACTGGCAGCTTTGAATGCATGTGCACGGCGTACAGCCTCCGCCGCTCCCCTGAACCCCCGTGCGGGCCCATGGTGACGCTGCTGTTCTTGCACACTCCACAACTGCTCCACTGCCTGTATCACCGGCTTGCTGGCGCTGGGCTTTGTGCTCTGAGCTTTGGGGGTTTGCGGATAAAGGCGTTTGCAATGCAGGAGCACACGTCGATTGACCTCAGCAAGTGTTCCCTGACTGGCCTGAACCTCCTTTAGAATGCCTTCGGTGCTAGCCTTGAGTTCTTGCGCTCTGGTGTCCATGCAGCGGAGCGATTGTCTAAAACACCTCAGAGAAAAGCGCTCAGTGGCTGCACGTGGTTTCTGAAACGTCCAGCCTGCCCGCCAAGGCACTGAGGCAACAATGGCATGATGTTTCGGTCCGCGCCTCCATGGAGCGAGGTCGAACACCTCCGGTTTTGCTCGTCTCGATGTCGAGTCCGCCGTCGGTCTCCGCATAGCAATGAAGTCGATTTGGCTGCGCACATCTCCGTGTGAAGGTGTGGCTATGGATGGACCTAGCGCTACACCAAGAGTTCAAAAATACCAAACTTTGTTCTCTAAGCAGCGTCTCCATCTCGACGTCCCTTACCTGAGTGGTCTTCATGACCCCACGTCCTATGTGTCCAGGTACTGGGTGACATTGCGTATTCCAGTCTGCTCCTATTACCACCAGGTTGCGACGTGGTATCCCTTGCAGTAGCGCCCCCAGTTTATGCAGAAACAGTCCCCGCTGCTCCTCTTGCTTGGCATCAGTGTGTGTTTGTCTGACCCACTGATACCCCGCAATGATATCCAGAGTCAAGTGGTCTCCAGCGCATCTGACGTGCAGGAGCCTTCCCGGGATCCAGGTATGGAAGGCCATTTGGTCAGGAGATGCCACCCGCTTCGAGACCAGCACCGCCACTCCACTGTGGCGTGCCTTGGGATCTGCAAACGTGTAGATGCTCCAGCCTGGTACCTGCCATTGGCTTTCCTGCCTACCACACCCCCAATGGCTTTCCTGCAATATAACTACGTCATCGCTGCATCGATGTTGTAGCCAGTGTAGCATGTGGTCGTAAACCTTTGAGGTTACGCCGCCGATATTGTAGCTCCTAATCTGCAGTCGCGGCCTTTGCGCGCGCGTTGGCTCGGACGCCTTGTTGCTTACTATCCGGCAAAGCAGGCTGCTGAGCTGACCGTTGCTGTGTCGTGCCCAGCTCCTCCGCTGTGACCAGTCTCCCCCTATAGTGCGTCACTCCATGAATTTCCGCCCTTCGGCGCGCACGCCTATATGCCCTCTTTCTCGACTCACTCAGTTGCGTTTGCATAGTATTGCTAGCTTGCCCACCATTGACTTTCCCCCCGTCGTGCGACGACGAAGGTGGCGAGCCTCTTGTGGCGGAAGGCCCAACCCTCGGGTTTACCAGTCCCTGATCTTCATATAATTCTTGCACCTGCTGGACTGGCCAGGGGAATTGGGACCCCTGCAGCTGGATATGATTCCCTGAGCCGTTCATGGTCCTCACTATATGCAAGCCGATGCAGATGCAGGTAAGCGCTCGCTGTGCCATGAACCCTGCGCGCACTCGGCTATCCGACAGCTCTCTCTGCTCCAGCCGAAACCCTTAGCAGTAGTAGTAGTAGTAGTAGTAGTAGTAGTAGCAGCAGCAGGAGTAGTAGTAGTAGTAGTAGTAGTAGTAGTACATGTTGTTGTTGTACAAGCAAAAGTAGGAGTAAAAGTATCAGCAGTAGTAGCAGTAGCAGCAGTAGGAGTGTGAGCATGGCCCCTGCCTGCTGGCTGCGTTGCTGGAGAGTGCGGACGGCCAACTCAACATTCCTTGGCTGCAGGTTGACGAATACCCGTCATCACGCCGTGGCAGCAAAAAAACGCAGCAAGGCTCATAAAGACAAAATGACAAAGCCAAAGATCTGTTTGCATCCAAGCCTTCGGCGGTCTCAGAGAGTCTAAACTGCACCAGCAGCTAGAACAACAGCTGCCAAACCGACACATGAGTTGCTGCTGGCAGTACATTGCCGCTGTAGGACATGGATGATCATGGATGAGCCAGGTCAGTTTCATGAAGGGATTGCGAGCTGCGAACCTAAACTGATCGACAGCACGAGCAAATCACCCCAACACATGCGACAATCTGTCTGGTAGGCACTGCTCACTAGGATCAGCCAATGCTGTGAGATTCTTTTCTGACCTCACGCCGCTGTACCATTAAGTCTGAAAGGCATGGAAGCGTTCGTTCGGGTGTGGCATCGTGACGGTGTCTTCCATGCCTCTTGCTCGGCTACTGCACGCTGTCAGTTCCCTCTGTACCCATCGATCATCCAAACGGGGCAACAAGAGATGCAACGGCAGCCAAAGACAAAAAACACAAAACCGATGGAACGCTACGGTAGAGATACTAATACTACACATCCATAGATTTCTAGAAATTGCAACCATTCCGCTTGCGAGTAACAAGTCCGGGAACATGAGACCCTTCATATGGCCTCTAGCCAAGAAAGGCTCGACTCGACTTGTCTCCAGAAGATGCTCCGCGCATGTTCGGCAGGCACGGCGGCTCTGGGCCCTGGGCTGAGGGCCCTGAGCGGTATGAAGCAATGGTTCCGAAGCTGAGAACCTACATGATTCTACAGCTAAGTTGAAGCAAACCCAAAACCGCTGCCGTGAGCAAAGCCACCGAGCTACCTTCTCCGAAACCACTAGATGCCCACACGAGTTTGCAAAACTCATGTGTCATTACAGTGGTTCTGATTTCCAAACAATGGTCCAACCATGCTAAGACTCATGGACATGCCTTGCAGTTTAGTAGGAAACACACACCATCACACACGTTTGGTCTGTGCAGAAGTCTATACATCTCATGCGTAGCTTGCTCCACTAGGTGCTCCAGGCGAGACTCCAGTGAAACTACATGCCGATGACAAAGACTGCTACCAGTAGCCATAGAACAGAGATCAGGAGATCGACATGGAGTTGTCTAGTGGGCAGTGAACTTTTCAGCTCACGAGGCCAGGAAAAGCTCATTGATTTCTTGCAGCCCGGCCAAAACGACGCAGTGGCTACGCAGCGAGGGGAGCACATCTGGCACCCAACGACACTTTATGAACAAAGACGGCCCGAAGAAGCCACAAGGCAAAGAATTTGTTGCAAGCAGCGCCTGCACTGATCACGACGAGGTCGCTTCAGAATTTCCCATATCGACCGGTTCGCCATGGACCAGTCTGGGACACCCGGCATAGAGCACGGCTTAAACACTCCAGAGAACATGGTTCTGTGATTGCTCTACAGCGGGCTGGAGCAAATGCTGTTCCGAGCCTCCTTACTGCGAAGCTTGGTAGGTTTTCATTGTCAGACTGTAAAGAATGGAACTCATGCCGATCGCTTCTTGTAGTCGGGTGGCACCTGGAAATCGCACACATTCCAAACCGGTGGCAGGATTTGCCAAGAGCTCTAGGTCGCCAGCTGGTGTGTTGGCCCACTTGCTCCTTTCGTCTGCATTTGCAAGCCTCGCAGGCAGGCGTGCACTGAAGCACGCATCTGTTTTCCTATAAACGATCAATGCATCACCTGTCGCGCACGTGCAGCATAAGCTGAGGAGCCTGATCTTCTCTTGATTATCATCAATCTCCAGTTTCTCAGACTTGGCACATGCCTGATCACGAAGATGCTTAGGTACCGAAGCATCATGACATCACAAGAGCATTACTGCCTCCATGAGCTTCTTGCTTGAGACGCTGAACTTTGAAACCTGGCGAGTCTGGCGAGTGTAAGCACAACTCAAAACCTGCAAGAAAGACAAGCACGTCAAATTCGGCGAGATGACCCGTGGAAAGGTGCGGATCAGGTCTAAAGCTACCCAGCCATCCCGCTCCATGTGTTCTCGCAGGAAAAGATCCTTGCGAGCAAAGTCATTCATGGAAGCAGAAGCCAGAGATCAATGCATCCTTGCAGAGGTTGTCGGTGGAGAAGTAGTATTCTACTTGATGCCTGCGGCAATTCCGAGATGATCCGGCAGTGCATTTTGACGCATGCACACCTGAGTTGGGCTTTCTGATCCTCTGAAAGCTCTTCATTCTCCTGGCACACCAAACAACATGCCGTGTGAAGAAAACCGCTCGGCAGCTCCTTGTGGTTGACAGCTGCGGCTAACGGATCCAAAATGCTTGGGAACAATCCTCACACTCTTACACGTCTGCCGACCCAGCTGACAGCGGACTGCCACGGCCACACGATCTGAGCACCATGCCAGATTTGGCGCCGCCTTTGCCTGCCGGACAATGGGCTAAGTCAATGGGCCGAAGCGAAAATGCAAGCCAACCACCGTGCGCCTGCATGCTTTCGTGCCGATGCTTGGGCTTGCAGCTGGGCAACTTGAATGGCCTGCTGCAGGGACTTGTGCAGACAACACCAAAATGCCAAGTGGGAAACAACCTGGGCATTTTGTGCAGCAGCGAGCTGCGCATAAGCGTAGACTGCCGGATTGTAACCTGGCAGCAGATCTTGGTGATAGAACTGCTGGCGTTGAGGCCCTGTTCAATCGTGCAAGCCTGGATAGGGGGGAAAGCCTCCTTAGGGCACTGACCAAATACAAGAATCCGGAATCCGAACAATATCTGCGAATCGATTCCTGCAGCTCTAAGCCATGCACCTGGAAATCCGTAGTAGCCTGGCGACGCTCGCCGCTCACAGCAAGCAAGCTCAAACAACGACTTGTCAAAACTGACACAACAACTTCGACATGAATCGATGACGGTTCCTTGAGGATATTGATAACCTCCTTTCGCCTGCATCTGGACTTGCACTTTCGCTACTCCGAGCCAAATGACATAGCTTCTTGCTGACATTCAACCACTCCGAGGCCAGCACCGCTGATGGAGTGGACTCCTTGCTTCCCTGACCGAGTTCGAACATGCACGTTCAAACAATGCTCAGATGCTGCAACATGCACAAGAAGTTGCCTGTTTGCGATCCTTCTGCTTGGCCTGTCCACAGCACCAGGAAAAGATAAACTCACTTGCGCAAAGATGCGTTCGTTGCGATGCCTTTGCTTTCGGCTCCGCTTCGTCCTGGCAGACTGTGCAAGTTGAAGCAGCTTCTTCAAGTCAGCATACAGTGGCTCCTTCGCGCCAGAATCCGGAGCCGACAGAGATGGAAATGGCTTCGCCTGGATTCAGTCATAAAGATGAAGGCACCAGCCAATATCAGATTCCCGGCCCGCCTCACCGTCCTCTCCGAAGAGCAGTGGAAGCCTCGAAAGCAGCATGCCTTTCCTGACTGCCTTTGTTGAGACTCCTTCAGGATCCCTCGCACGACGAGGCTACAAGTACTCGAAGCTAGACCGCTCCGCCCAGTGTTGGCTGCAACAGCCGCCGCTTCCGTGCATCTAGCGAAAACGACAAGACAAGAACAGCTTTGATTGCTTTTGCAGCTTGGCTGCCGATCGGAACTAGCACAAGTTAGACCTGCAAAATGGAAGGCGTCCCTCGAAGCACACCTCCCGTACAAGAGATGCCCAGGGTTGACATGAATGGGAATCCTGCCCAGGAGCTTAGGATGTAATCAAATTGAGATAGCATGCTTTGCAATCGTTGTCAAGGCAGCAAAACCTTTTGTTTATCAGGCAAGACCACAGAGCTTCTACATCCCCATGTAGAACTCTGCGAGATTTGCGTGGGCCCACACCACGTAGGCGGTAATATGTAGAAGCGACTGACAAATTTAGTCAGTAGCCCGACACATTCTGTGCTCTACATTTTGCGAGCCTGCACGGATCACCGGCACTTGCATGGGCACGTGCCCACAAAACACAACCTCCCTGCCAGCAGCGGCCCTTGACCCCCGGTGTTGTGACGGCAATCTACCGCTGCTCGTTAGTCTGCTAGTTCCGTGCCTGGCCATTATGCAAAAACGAACCCACACTGAAACCAACGCTCCGAAGCCGGGCAACCAAGGCGACTCTGGAGACTCTGCTTCCTTGCGCGATTGAAGGCCTCAAGCTTGCACGATCGCATCAAGGGCTCAATTGCTCAGCAGAGGCCACCACGTTGGATGGTCTTCTCCAGACTCTCCATGCGAGCGGGCACAACTTCACAAGCCTTGAGCGAAGCGCATCGATACCGTCTCGCCACTACCGGCACTAGCGATAAATCCCGAAAGCGCTTTGTAGAATGTTCCTTCATTTCCACAGATGTAGCACCGCTTGCATTTATTACCCTGCACCTCAAAGAAGTGGTGTCCAGCATGCTACTGGAAGTTCAACCACTTTCGTAAAAACGCTGCTCAGATCTGCTTTCGTGGAACCAGGCACATGATCCCGTTCGCATGTGCCTTCTCTTCCTCCGTCCCATCGAAACACTCTTTCATCGCCTTTCCCATGAAGTCCTGCACAGCTGCCAGTACAACTGCATTCTACGAACTTCTACGATATGCAATTATAGCTATCTAGCTATACAGACAGGGATGCACATGTACATGTAAGCACACATACATACGTCTATCCAGGTATATCCAAGTAACTATCTATCTACCTGCCTATCCATCTATAGCACCATATCTGTATATGTAAACCATACAGTTTAGATATGTATGCTTATGTGTATATAGGTACGTAGGTTGTAAAAAAGTATGTACTTATGTGAATATATATATATAAAGGTTATACTATATTATACTACATTATGCTATATACATATATGTATGTATGTGTATATATATATATATATTATATATTATATTATATATATATATAGCGGTGTGTGTGTGTGCGTGCGCGTGTGTGTGTGTGTGTGTGTGCACGTGTGTACGTGTGTGTGTGTGTGT